GAGAATTGCACAACACCATTCAGGATCTCAAGGTGCGGAGTCCATAGCAGATTTCTTCACCCTCTGACGTCCACAGGGCAATATCCGCGTCTTTGCGCGCGTGCGACCACCACTGAATGAATCTGACCTCGCCGATATGGAATACGACAAGGACAAGCGTAGCCTTAAAGTTGTTTCTGTTAGCGAGAGCGCTACGGGAGCAGCACGACGTGACATCCACAACTTCACATTCGACCGCATATTTCGTCCAGAAGCTCAGCAGGCTGAGGTCTGGAGTGAAGTTGAGGGTGTCGTCCAGAGTTGTGTGGATGGATATAACGTTTGTGTGTTTGCATATGGCCAAACTGGTAGCGGCAAGAGTTGGACCATGGAAGGCGGTGATGTGCGCAGACCCTTGTCCCCCAAGTATGTCTTCTCACGCTCATTCCCCAGACGCCAGAGACGCGCGGAATGATTCCGCGTGCAGTCGATGCCACATTCAAAGTCACAGAAGACCTCAAGATGAAGGGCTGGCATTACACCCTAGAAGGGCAGTATCTCGAAATTGTGAGTGGACCAAGAAGGCTCTTCATTTCCCTCTGACCCGACTACAGTACAACGAATCCATTGTCGACCTCCTCACCATGAACCCTCTTCCCGCCTCTTCATATACTATTCGCCATGACGCGCCTACGCGTTCCACCACTGTGGTCAACATGAGTACAGTCCCATTAGCCTGCGAGGACGACGTGAATAAGATGCTGGCGAATGCCAAGCGGCGGCGAACCGTTGCAAGTACCGGCATGAACGAACAAAGTTCGAGAAGCCATTCCGTTTTCAGGCTGCATCTGACTGGCACGAATGAGTCGAGTGGCGAAGTCTGCGAGGGTTGGTTAAATCTTGTGGATCTTGCGGGCAGTGAACGATTGGCGGTGCTGAACCATGGTGGCGACCGGCTGAAGGAGACCCAGAATATCAACAAAAGTTTGAGTGCGCTGGGTGATGTGATATCGGCGTTGGGTGATGCAGGAGGTCAAACGGCGAGGCTTCCACCGGTTTCGGAGGACGGGAAGCCGCCAAGCAGGCCACCGAGTCGCGGGGAACGTCCGCCGTCGAGGACGGGACCACCAGCGGAGAAGCATATCCCATATCGCAACAGCAAGTTAACCTATCTTCTGCAGTACTCGCTGGGCGGGTCCAGCAAGACGCTTGTGAGTTCATTGCTGTGTTCTCAATTGGCCAAACTCACGCTATCCCAGATGATATTGAATTTGTCGCCAACCATAGGCCATTTGGGAGAGAGTTTGAACTCATTGAGATTTGCGACTAAAGTAAGAATGTGTTCTGCTCGATGAGCGCCAGCGCTGACCTCTTCCCAGGTCAACAATACGACGGTGGGGGCGGCCAAGAAGATGCGATGAAGATATAGTGCTTTGGCGTAGTACGTCTTGTAGCTTGGTGTGCAATGGTACGTTGCGACAAGATTGGTGGGGGAATGTTTTCGTCTACTCCGAATACTTCGCTATCTCCCGCACGGGGGTCATCAAAAACCCGCTGTTTTCTTGCAAGCGCCCATACACTGTGGCATGTAACTTTCTGTAGTCAGAGCAGATTTTAACAAATGTATACAAGGCTTGAGGTGAATACCCTTGGATCCATTAGCCAACTAGACGGGCTAGTCGAATTGATTGAGCTGATGTTATGCTAATGTCATCCTCAGGATGTGCTGCAACAACACTGTCATCGCAGACACCTCGCCGTCCGACAAGTATACTGGAGTACAGCGATGCTGTGACGGTAGCTACTCACTGATTCACAGTGAGAAGGCTTTGAATCTATGCAATCATGGGCATCGGCCCGGCCGACAGGGATATCTGGCGCGGCAGACGTGGTCTGACTCGTCTACTCGCAACTTGGAATTGTGATGGACGCTTGTCGTGGTTCTTGAGGAATTAGATGGGCGTCCCGACGGTATGAGTCCTCAACGCCCCAGGCTGTCTGCCTGGCTTTGCGAGTGGCCTTAACCACGAATGACTATGGGACGTGAGTTGTGTATCAAACACATCGTCGATGGCATACAATCCTACAGGTCCTCACAATGAGCTGTCAAGGGAAAGGATGAGTCGGTGGCTCGCTGTTGGGCATAAATGGCAAGTCGCTGCAGTATAAGTAGTGCACAGTACTACCCAGCTTTACAATCCCTGTCGCTAGTTCCGCCTTGAATATGTCGTACCACTCTTCCTCGAACGGACAATACAACCCGTCGACCGACTCCGGGCAGATGTCTGCAGCCTCACAGCCCACACCACCGACCAGAAGTGAGCCAAATTATTTGTTTTGACGGTGTCCTAACAATGTCTGAACCCCCTCAGGTCCAACGAATGTTGTCTTTGCTCAAAGTGACGGTCTGTCTTTTTCCCCTCTTGCGCTGTGTAGGGCTCAAGCGCTAGCGCTCATCCCGCCAGGCGGATCGCGTGGAGCGCAGAATCTAAGGGTTGATGCAAGTCAAGCGAACTACGATGTGACTATGGAAGACAAAGTGAGTGGTCCCTTTCTGAACCCTTTCAGAGGCTTATCAATTTCAGTGCTGTGGTTGCAGTTGTATCGTTATGTAGACTACCCTCCAGCGGATATGTACATTATTGCATACTCTGTTTCGGTCATCACGCCGGCTCGGTCTGGGGTCAGTATAGCATGTTCCCTCTTCAGCGGAGCCACAATACTTTGCCTCGGGTGCCTACAGTAATGCCTCTACTATACGTAGTACACCTCGGTTTATAGACTCGAGCTTAGACTAAGTTCGCTGGGGATGGGACACTGTGACAACGAGTGTAAAGAAATATTAGAGGACCATCGAACATCCGAGGAAAGGTATCATATGTACAGTGCTGCAATCCGTCCAGCGCCATAGTCCATCAACTACCAATGCCGTGTTGTTATTGGATCAACGCCATTAATCATACGAAGGAGAACGACATTAGAGGTTAAGGATGAGAACTAAAGAAGGGTCAGATATAAGCAGTTTCGAATGTGGAGACACTTACACCGTTGCCGACAAAAACATCTGCCCTCTGCGCGACATACATATCCATCGCCTGTGCAACATACTTGCCCTCTCTCCGTGACCATGTCAAATCCCGGCTCGTCCGCACGCCCCCATCCTTCCACCCGCCGAGCTTCGCTAGCTCATCTTTGAGCTCCTGGAGAAACGCGGGCGACCCATTGCTCATCACGTAAACTCTGTCAAGCTTCCGTATTTGACGAAGAGACGTAACCTTCTGGAGAATGTCTTGTACACTGGGAAAGCATCGGCTGTGTGCATACGCTTTGCGATCATCATCCCCGTCTGGGGGCGTGAAGGTATCAGGCAGTTCAGGGAACGAGTTGAATCCATTGAATCGACTTCCCCAGGCCGCAAGGTTGGCGCAATGCTCTTCGAAGTCGCCACGACGAATGTGAAGCGCGAGAAGCCCTTCGAGCAGCGTATAAGGGGGGTTGGTTGACCCCGCCTCGAGTTGTGCAGGGATTGGAATCGGATGCGGATGGTTGGGATCCACCGGCGCTGGTAAAGAGTCCCATTCCTTTCCAAACCATTTCTCCCACCAGCTCTTCGAGCGCACGTCCCGGAAAAAGGCCTGGTTATCCCAAAACAATGAGAGGATGAGGGGAGACCACGCGAATTGGGTGAAGACAGGCGAATTGCGAATGTAGGGCATGAGAGAAAGTGCATGAGTGTCGCCAAAGAGCCAGATATCCCACATATGTAGACTGCTTTCTTTTACGACGACACACTGCACGCCCGACTCTTTGAGACGCGTGAGCTCCTTGACGTAGCCATAGAGCATGTCTTTGCCTTCCATCTGGCCTAACGTTTGTTAATGGAGGCTGATGACCTAAGGATGAGACTCACCGCGTTCTCCGATGGTTGCCCTCAATGGCTCTGATTCCAACACATAGATATTAGGATTCGGCTCGCCCTTGAAGGAACTCAAGCCTTCTCCTTTCCAATTGCACAACTCTGTGAACTGTGGCAGGCTCACTGCCGGCTGGTCGTTGGCTCCAACTACGGGCCCGGCCACCAACGCAGTCAAGGGTATCCTCCCGGGGATGGCTTTGCCATTAAAAATGCCAAACGGGGATGTCATGTCCTTGCTCCACGTGTAGTTGTCGAATACAAATCCGTATCCTGCAGCCTGTGCCAGATGCGCATTCATCAGCAGCTCTTGCATGATATTTCCCCAGCCGCTGCCATGTGCATGATTCGAGAAGTGGATGAGGGGAAGGGTGGGTCCTTCTGCGATATATCTGGATTTTGGGAGAGTATTGATCTTGGCCTCGTAGTTGTGCCATTCGTCGAACGTTGGTGGGAGCGTGTTGTTGGTATCCGTATGTAGTGGCTCCTGCGGTGCATTGGGCGCGGGTTTTAAGGGTATTATTGCCAATCCTAGAGGCTCAGCGTGCCAAAAGAAGAAGAATACGGTTATTATTGACATCAGGCCAAGGAGCGCGACGCGAGAGTATCGTTTCGTGAAGATCGTTGCTGTGGGAGGCATAGGACTGTTCGTCCAAGGGAGAGTGGGGGAGACCATCATAGGCTTTTAAATGGTCAGCGATGTGGAAGTGCTTGAAAGATGGACGTACCTCTGGTCTAACCTCTGGACTTGCGCGTGCAGCTGCGGAGCACTTGGTGCAGAAGATATTGGCAGAATTGTCCCGTCGTTGAGACGCGTGAATCCGGGGACCTCTCCTGCCGCCGAGTCCAGCACAGATCCAAAGCGTCTGAAGGTAGACAGTTGGCTGTGGCCTGTTCTGCGCAAGCCGTCGTGGTCGCGTGCAGAGAGAGAGCTATTAATTGCGATTGGACGTCATTGATGGCGCACATGGAGCGCGATCAAACTCACGCGTTGGCGATCACGAGATTAAACTACGCGTCTCTGACGGGGCACGCCGACGGAACCCAAAAACCAGATTAATCTGCCTTTGGGCTTTCAAAAAAAAAAGTACAAGCACTCAAAACGTAATGCCCCCATGCTGGATTGAACAACAGACCTTTGCATGCGTCGGAACAATCACATGATTGCCGTACAAGTGCAACGCTCTACCACTGAGCTATAAGGGCATGACCAAGTGAAGAATGCCATGCTCACAATCTCCAAAGAGAACCAAACTTAGAATCATAAAGTAAATGTTTAACGTCTCTGAAAGACTGAAAACTATGCTGCTTGACCAGGTCCTGACACGTAATAAGGTGTCTTATGGACTGAGAAGGATTGATTGATATTGCTATGTAGCCGAGGCACTTGTCTTGACATTGAGCAGCACCATTCTTTGCATACAAGTGCCCGGCGCGTACTACCGGCTCGTCACAGCTTGTCTAATGTTATTATTTGCAAGTCTTCCTAAAAGCCTTTGTTGGATTCGTGAGGCGATCGGGGCGCCATCTACCAAGTGGCATTCATTTGCACTGACCACAAACTCAGAAAATTCCAGGAGTCAAATAACATACCAAGAACAGCATACCAAGAACGACAGAACGACGTAAACACCCACAATAGACATCTGCTGAATTCAAGGGACATAGCTTGCAAGGATGTTGGGCCCCGGAGGCTTAAGTTATGTAGCTCTTCGATTTCTTTGCTGTCCGACTCTGCTTCGATCTCTGCTTTCGCTTGAGCTCGATGAGACGCGCCTCCATACGCGCAATGCGGAGTTTCTCCTGGATTCGAAGTCGAGCATGAATCCCTGAATTTGGCTGATAGGATCCAACAGAAGCTCACCTGAAGGGCAGAAATAGCATCCTCGGACGTCCCGTCATCTCTTTCGTCCTCCTCGTCCGAGCTTATGATGATGAACTCCGGCTTTGGATTGACGATTCCTGCTCGGTGAGATGAAGACAGAGTACTTGATTCAGGCGAAGATGGCGTCCAAGACGTAACGGGATGGCCCTCTGGCGGGGTCGACTCGCGCACTGGGGACAAAGGTGCAATCCCTCGCGCTTGCAGGATAGCTAAGAGGAACGTGAACACATAGTGTGGGCATAGAAGGACCATGTTCACCTAACGGACGATATCTGTAGACTATGGTGACAAGCCTACCAATGGGCCTCGTCGACCACACTGGTAACTGGTTTTGTCGAGTGCGTTCGTCGCCCAGTCTATTTTTCCGTTGGCATATACCACAAAAACCGAGGGAACGCCAAGAGCTCACACAGCTCGATGAGAAACAGCACTGGCTTTGGCGAGACGCTCGTGAACGGGTCTATTGTCGCCCACAAACTCCTCCGCGCCGAATGCCATTTCCATCGTCGCCTCAATGCGCCATTGCTCAATTCGTATCTCTCCAAGTCCCTCAGATTCGCTGTGAACGAGGAGGCTGTCATCGTCGTCTGCGCTGCGTTTAACCCGTGACATCAAACATAGAAGCAGCCAAGTGCGTACCAGTGAACTGTAATTCGGCAAACATCAGCGGGCGCTCAGTAGTGTTCGACGTGGTCACAGCGCTACACGACACTGTATCAAATTCTCCTCCCGCGAAGAGAATTTCTGCCATAGCGCGCTTTCCGTCAATGAAAATGCGCGTTGAAGTACTGAATTCGGAAGAAGTGCGTTGGACATTGACCACAAACTCCTGCCTACGACTCAGTCACCGTGTCTCAATGGTATGTATACGATGCCTTGCAAGGCAAGAAGAGGAGAAGGTGTTCGCATCACGCAAGCCCAAGCTTAAGGTGAACTATAAATGCACTGAATAACATACCTTTCCACTCTCGGACGGTACCCAATATGTGTACCTTCGGTCAATATCGCTCGCCTCATATTCGTATTCTGGAAGAGTCACTCCGTCGACGGTTATCCATGATGAAAGCACGTCCTGCTTCATGAGATGATGGTAAATAAGATAGAGGCATGTAGGTACCCTGTGCCGGTTCGGCCCGGCAGGTCAACGCCACTCAGCAATGATCCAAAGTTGGAAACTTAGGATAGCCCAACTTAGTTTCTAATAGTGTTTGTCTATAGGCCCAGATTGACAAGAGAAATTCGATGTTTTCGTGATTCAATCCGCCTTACGCGGTCTCCCAGGCTCCTACACCAAAGTAAAATACAATACAGGACCCTCAAAGCAAAAGAGTATTTAAGCAATCTTTTCAGTGTGCTCGTCAGGTGAAACCTTGCCAGTTCCAGCCATACCCATCTCGGAGGCGAACGTCCTTGTTGGCTTCCAGGCGGCAGATGTGCGCGGCGTGGTCTCCTCCATCATCTGGTCGACTTGCTCGAGTGTAAGGCCCTTGGTCTCAGGGATGAGAAGGTACGCATAAACGACTGAGGAAACATCAGAAAAGAGTTGAAAATGGCAAAGAGTGATGCGTACAGCATGTTCCACAGAGACCACCCCACACCCAGAAGACGTGCGATTTCAGGTTACCGCGGTCGGGAGCGACCATGTACGGGGTAATGACAGCAATGATCGTGTTCCACAGCCAGTTCGAAGCGGTCGACAATGCAACACCGCGCGAACGGATCGGCAAAGGGAAAATCTCGCCGATAACAACCCAAGCGCCCGGCCCCCAAGTAGAGGCGAACCAGAAGATGTAGATTGCAATGAATGCTACCTGGGCATTAACGGCGGAAATGTTATTGGCGACGGATACACCGTCTTCGAGATGGGTCTCTGAAAACGATGTTAGGCCAGAATGAAGTGTGGATGGGAAGGGACGCACTGTTGAAGCCAACAGTCACGCCGACAATGGCGACAATCATCTGGCAGATGAACATGCCGAGGGCGCCCCAGATTAGGAGTGGACGACGGCCGACACGTTCCATGGTGTAGAACGACAAAGGGGTGGACCCGACGTTGATGATGGTGAATACCATGGACATGAGGAAGGTGTTTTCGATGGCACCAGTCGACTTGAGGAAAGGCGTCGAATAATAGAAGATGAAGTTGACACCTGTCCACTGCTGCATCATCTGTAGCGACGTTCCCAGGATGGTCTTCCGTAGGTTGGAGTTGCTCTTGCGGAGGCCACCGGTGAAGCAAGCGTACCATGAGCCCCAGTATCCGGTTTGGGGAATCGCGCGCATCTCGAATTCATGGTTGGCGACAATTTCGGCAAGTTCGTCCTCGACATACTCCGAGCTGGCTGGCTGTCCACGAAGGCGACTGAGGGTATCACGGGCGCGGGCGATATCGCCTTTCTTGACGAAGTAACGCGGCGAGTCGGGGAGGAAGAACAGACCGGTGGCGAGGATAACACCCCAGGCGAATTGGAGGGCGATGGGAATCTGGTACGACGAGCGGCCGGGGTACTTTTCAGTCGCGTAGTTGACACAGGACGCAAGCATGAGGCCGATGGTGATACAGAATTGATACCCAGATACGAGCGTGCCGCGGACCTTGCGAGGGCAAATCTCAGACACTAGCACAACCGTCAGAATGCTGTTTTGTGATGAATGGGAGAGCACGGGGACGCACTGTACAAGATGATAATTGCGGAGACGAAACCGACGCCAAAGCCAGCAATAAGACGACCAGACACGATGAGACCGAGACCCTCCCTATGACAAACTTGAAGCACACAACCGACAATGTATACACCACAACCAGCAATGATGGTCATGCGACGGCCTGGAAAAATGAGTATATGCGTGGGCGTCGGACCAGAGACGCACCAATAGTATCGGCCAAGTCGCCAGCAATGAGAGCGCCGAAAAATGTACCAGCGGAGAGAATGGAAGTGATGAGCGAGTTCTTCGACGACGACAGAACCTGGTCGGCGGGCCCGGGACCCATAATGGACTCGATGAACACCTTTGAGCCAGTGACACCGTTGATGTATCCAGAGTCGTATCCGAAGAAAATGCCGCCAAAGCTGTCGAGGGAATGAGGAGAGCTCGTCGATGAAAAAAAGGGTAGCACGTACGCAGCAAACGCGCACATCATGTACGCTTTCATCGTTACCGGCGCCTCGACGCGGTTGACATCGCTTGTCGCATGGAGAGTGACTCCGCCTCCGGGCATGGTGCTCAAACTGTGGTGGTTGAAAGAGAGCAGCGAACGGGAAGGACCAGATGCGGTGGTAAGAGGGATTTATAGCCTTGGCTGATGTTGCGATCGAAACGCCACGGGAGTGAAGGTGACATGGCCCACATGCACAAGGTCCCGAGCCAAACCCCAGATGACCCCGTGGGGTCGTCCATTTTGTTGGACGGCGCCCTGTGGCGTTGCGCTTGTTCAGATATCTCTGACGGTTGGGTCGGCCGGGGCCGTTCAAACTCCCTCCCATTCAGCAGCAGCCGAGCCATCTCCCGTCAGCGCCAGTCTGTTCTCCGTCTCGACGAAAAGTGGCACCCAAAGGACCCACAATATTTTTTCATTCTCTTGGTTTCCTCTTGGTAGACACCAACGGGTAGCATCGCCCAGGGCATCCGCTCTACATCACAGGTGCCTTGAAGGGTACTCACAGCCGAGGCGGAGTTCGGGAGCATTACTATCCGATACCAAAGCTTGCGCCCCTTGGAAAGTTGAAAGTTCTTGGATTTCTAGTACTGCAGTTGCCTGTATGGTTAAACTGTAGTGCCTTTGCAGCCCCTGCTAGATCGTAGAGATTTACGCAGTGAGGACAACGTGAATGCTCGGGTCGGTCTCGTGAGTAGCGTCCTGTTTTCACGGGGCATCGTACCAGCCTATTGGTGAGATTCGAGAGTGTTTCGAAGGACGCCGTGCATCCCCGACCCTGCGAATGCAAGTTATGTTTGGAAAGGATTGAAGTGATGGCCACGATTAGTAAAGCCTTGACTTCATTCAGGCTCAGGCTTCGAGCCTTAAGAACGAGCGCATAAGTAATGCGGGTCCACAACGTGGTTTAAGAAGGTTAATAAGTCGGCATTCGACCCGGAAGAAGCAAGGAACGTTCGCCCAGGACAGTCACAATAGACGGAAAATATTGCCCACGAGCTCCCAAGAACATGAAGAAGCTCCGGGATGCCTTGTGTTATTTCTGTAGCTTCATTCCATCGCACAAGTAGAGATATAGACGTAATTGAGCAGCTTGCCTTAGATGGGCTTGAGGAATGCAAGACTCGTTGTGTATTTGGTCCCCGGCATTGGGAGCTCGGGCTC